CAGTTGTGACATCCTGAGACTGAAACTTGATTGATTTGAGCCTAGGCTCTTTCCTTGATTTCTAAAGCTTCTAACCTACGCATGATTGTGGCCATCTTAGCTTCAGATGCAATGTTCGACTCTAAGGAAATACCACTGGATTTAGGTTGGGGAACTGATGACACTCGGTCATCACAGTGTTCCCATTGTATGGTTTTTTCAGAAAGACTCTCTAAAAACTCCCAAGCTTCATCAGCATTTTTCCTCATGAAATCCCCGTGGCACATTGATTCTAAGAAAGTTTTTACAGAATAATCTAATCCTTCATAAATTATTCGGCACAATCGCTATTTTTCTAAACCGTGATGAGGACATTGGATGAGAAAATCTTTAAATCGGTCAAAATACTTCCAAAAGGGTTCTCCCGGGACAATTTTAACATTCATGATGATGTTTCTTAGCTTCACCGTTTTATGGGTAGGAAATTTTTTTTTTAAGAAAAACGGTGATAAATTCCTCCCAAGTAGTGATGGAATTTACGGGTAAGCTATACAGTCATTTTTTTGCTTTGTCTTTGAGAGAAAATAGAATAAATCTGAGTTTGATCGCATCTTCTGTTAATTCTCTCATTTTAATCATAATACACACTTCCTCAAATCCTGAGATAAAAATATATGCATCTTCTGTTTCATTTCTAAGGAATTTGGGAAGTATGTTTATATAATGCGGTCTAAGCTCAAAATTTATTCAATTTGTTTCGGGGAGCCTAATGCAAGAGGGGATTGCATTCCTAATGGGATAGCACATATCATGAAGAACGGGTAGATTAGGATGCTCCATTACTATGATTGGTTCAAAGCGAATTAATCGATGTGTATTATCCCTAATCCACTGTTACATAAACCAAAACTATTTCTTTTTATACTCTTTTTTTTATAAAGAAAGAAAGAAAATTAGTTTTTTTATGAGAAGAAAAGGATAAAGAAAAATCCTAACTAAAACAAATCAAAGCAATCACTTTTCAATTACTCTAATTCTAGGGTTTAGCCTAACTCACTAGACCAGCTCCTAACCAAAAACTCCTACAGTGAAAAGATTAAAGTTTTACCCAGGTAGTTAGCCAGGTAAGGATAGTACTAGAGGGTGATCAGATATCAATTAAGTATCTCGTTCCTTGCGGAGCGCTTTACGCAACCCCTAAACCTTACCTTAGACACCAACTATTCTGAGAAAACTTAAACCGGTTCACTTAAAGATTTCTTGTTCCTTATTGAGCTCGAGTCCTTAGGGGCCAACGTCTAATGAGTTTTAGAAGACTTGGGTTTGTGAAGTGAAAAATTAGTGATTTGTGGGCTAAGGAAAGGGTGATGAAATCCCTCATATTATCTTGATTATGGGGTTTTGCCCTTAAAAATATTTTTAAGTGTGTGACAAATCAAGATGCTCAAATCACTTGGTGAATTCCTATTAACAATATGAAATGCAACCCTATGAATTAAAAGCAACTAAAAAAGGATGGAAAAGAAAAAATCTTTTTTCTTTAATTAGGGTTAACAATCAAACAAATGAGAAGGGAGAAATTATTTGAATTTATTATCTTGTTAGTAAATATTAAAGTGGAGGGTGAGTTTTATTATGGTCAACAAAAATAAAAAACCCTTTTTTTTTAAGTCCTAATTGTCTCTAATTGTGAAGAAGTAGCTAAAGGGTGGAATTAAAAATTCTAGAAAGAAGAGTTACCTACAAGTAAATCTTCAAATCCTAGTTCTCCAATCTGCGATCTTCAAGCTCCAAGCGTTTCCTTCACAATAAACACACAAGTTAAAGAACCAAAATAATTAAAACCTACTTAAGCACCTTCCCCGACAACGGCGCCAAAAACTTGATGCGGCATAAACATGTATCAAAATGTTGCAAGTGCACAACCGTGTCAAGTTATAGTATAAAAGTTATCGATCCCACGAGGAAGGTGTTTTATAGGAGAAAATATAAAATCGGTTCTTATGTTGTGTGCGTGACAAATAGAAGTGATGAGTGAATGTGATTGTAGAGAGATGGAGAGAATGAAAGTGATAGTGTGTAAATCAATGTGTTTGAGAGTGGATGTGAGTAAAAATAAATATGATCAACAAGGCAAGAAAGAATAATGAATAAAATCGAGAAACAAATAAAAATCAAGAATGAAAATAAAATTCAAGAAAGTAAAGATGACGGATTCAATTAAAGATATGGGTAATCTAAAATTGAATCCACTTATTAGAAAAAGGTGATTCCCTAAAGGGTTCTAACCTAAAGGCGAATCAAAGAAAATAAAAATAAACAAAAAGAAAAACTAAACCCAAGAGGGTTTTAGCCTCAAGGTGAATAGTACAAGAAATTAAAATCTAACTACAAAATAAATTACAAAATCTAAACTATAAAATAAATTGTAAGAATTAAATGTAAGAAAATAAATCTACTCTATAAGCATGAAATAAATCTAATCTATGAGCATGAAATAAATCTAAGGCAAGAGGGTTCTAGCCTCTTGGCTATTTAAATAAGAAAATAAAATCTAATTATAAGCATGAAAATAAATCTAAACTAATAAGCAATAAAAGAGAAATAAAAAAAACAAACCTTTAAATTAATCTCCATCTTCATCTTCATCTTCATCATCCAACAAAGAGAAGAAGAGAAAAATTTAAAGTGGTGAAAAAATTATTTTATTAATTGTAACAAAAAGTTACAAATTTGGAAGGCCTTCTCAATTAAGAGTAGCCCTCCTCTCCAAAAAGAGTTACAAAAATTTTCACCCCCTCAACCCCTCACTCTCTATCCCTATTTATAATAAACAACAATGAATGAGAGCCCTTGGATGAAGACTTAAGCCCTAAGGAATCATTTTTAGCCTTTGAGCTTTTGGGCTTGAATTCTTGGGCCTTTTGATTGTTTTCTTCATTAATTCAATGGGCTTTTGCTAAAAGAAGAGATATTGAGTTTTATTCTTCATTAACCTTCAAATTCTTCCCATAATTACTTCTCCAGCACAGAAATTCAGATTGTGCTTCTTTGTACGAATATTTGTCCATGATATGTTCAGATTTCAGAGATGTCATAAATACAAAAGTTATAGATCTCGTTCTTAGCTTTCAGAGAATGTTTATTCAGCCAATTCTGAGTTAATACGAGAGAGATATGGCCAAAATACCAAACATTATCGAGATATCTAGATTGCATGATTTGTTTCCTTTTTCACAAAACTTCTTCATTTGTTCCTTGATGGTATATTTATTTTTCTTAGACTTTTGGGCTTGGACTTTTGGACATTTTCTTGACATTTTGGGCTTCAATGCTTCATTAAATATTGAAAGAAATTATTTGACTTCATGGGCTTCATTCTTTTGCTTTTGGCTTTGGGCTTTGATGTTAAATCAAGGGGCCTTTGTTGAGAGATAAGAGTTTGAGATTTATTCTTCATTAACCTGCAATTAAAAGATAAAAAACAATTATTAGTGGTACATTTATTCATAAAAAATAGATAATGAGGGTATAAAATTATAATAAAATGTGATTATCAACAATCCTTGACCTATTGTTGAATTAGAACAAAATGAGATGATGGCTAATTAGAACAAAATTAAATGAATTTTTTCTTTAAAATTAGAACAAATGAGAGGAATGAAGAACAAAAAGGTGAGATGGTGAATTGAGCAGAAAGCATAGGTAAAATTTAGTAATACCTTCTTCAATGAAATTCTTTCCAGATTCTAACCGATGCAAAAATTCTGACAACTGAGGAGATGATGGCGGAGGCGCAGCGTTGATGATTAGGGAAATAACACTCATCTTTGGAAATTGATGGCTTAAGATCGTGGGACGGCGTAACGAAAGAACTGAGAAGATGGGCTGAGATGAAGGGTAATGGATGAAGTGGTGAATTGAATTCATCTTTAAAAGTTGGTGGAGGTAACGGAAGATCGGAGGAGGCTACATAACCGATGAATTGAAAGGATTAGGGCGTAACCGATGAATTGAAAGGAGGAGGAATATAGGCGTAACCGATGAAAAGGTGAAGTGGTTTATGAATTCAGGATATGTTTGGTAATTAAATTTGGTGGAAGGCTATTTTGGGGAGGGTGAAGTTTTTCATGAACTCCCTCTTTTATAGGGTATAAATAAATATAAATATAAATATAAATATATAAATATATAAATATAAATATACATATAAATATAAATATATATAAATATATAAATATATATAAATAAATATAAATATAAATATAAATAAATTAATGCTTCGGTGATTTATAACACTTTTAGTTTGTGGGCTAATTAAATGTGACACTTCAAATTTAGTAAAGATGAGTTTAATCTATGATATACGGGATTCTTTTTAGCTATTTAAATTGTTTTAAATGCGTTGGTGCCCATCGATCTCACCTATGCTTTTGACATTTATGAACACATGCACCTATCTTTTCGTTTATGTTATCATGTACAAGGTGAAATTTGATATGCCTCTTCTGGCTAAAATCTACAATATTAATTGCCAGTTATGTGTGGTAAAGGGTACGCACGCTTGAAACAAACATATGGGTGGCCATGTTCTCGTGTCTGGTGGTGAACTGCTGTGTTTGAGATATTCATGCCTATGTTTTGTGTTTGAAACACTATGTTCATAGCTTTCATTTAGGCTCTGTTTGGTTTGGAGGAAAATAAAGAAAAGGAAAAGAAAGTGCAATAGAAAGTATCTTTACCTGATTTGGTTTGAAAGAAAATTAAAAAGAAAATGAATGTTAAAATCACCGTAGAAAGTCTCATATGTTCTCAGTTCTCTTCCCCTTTCCCGACTCAAACGGAGCGAAAATGAGAGAGAGGGAGAGAAAATCTCGCCCGACGCCTTCTTTGAAAATTCCTGACTCTATCCCCGATCTCGTCGACTCCATCCCCCCCTCCCCAATCCGCTCCCTCCCCCACCCCCCCTCCAGCAAACCCTAGTCGAAGGAAACCCTAGTTCGAGCAAACCCTAGCGATCAATGGAGGCCTACGCTGACGAGGTTGGAGCTCCGAACTCGCGGGAGACGGTGGACCTCGACGAGAGAGTGAGTCGGTTGGTGATCCTCTGGACCAAGAAACGCTCGGGTTCTCCGTCGCAGGCGCCGGATTCTTCAGTTTCGACTTCGTCGGCGGCGGTGGCAGCGGTTTCTGGGGATGGAGGCGGAGGGATCTCAGAGGTAGCGCTAAATCAAGCGGATCAACTTCTCTTCATTTTTTTTCTTTGGTAATCTTGAGAAAGTTATGATTTTTTTATTCATCTATGGTTTGGAGTTAGGGCTAGTTACTTCTCTTGTATGTACCGATGTAGAGAAGTTCAAGAGACTGACCATTTTATTTTTAGCTTTAATTTGAATTTAACAAGAATTTAGGCATTTGAGATGAAGCTTATCATTCAAACCTGTAAAGGATGCCCATATAACTCTTTTGATGATTGGGGAAAATGTCCATGGCCAAAATACATATCGGTACTAGGAGGTAATTTAATTTACACTCTAATTACATGTTTGCATTTTACCACCTAGTTCATAAGTTTAAGGAATTGTTTTCATTGTTAAAACTAATAGAAACTCAAAAAAACTGCGCATTATTAGAATTTGCAATTTCCTTGGTTTATGCCGACAAGAAGGTGAGTTCAGAGCTTGTAACCACATATATAGAAGTATAAATTTATAATCTACCTTATTAGAGCACATAGTTTGAAATATCCTGTTCAATGAAAACCTTCTGGAAGAGCAAAATATTCTCAAGTGTCTGTTCGAGGTGGTGCCCAGATCAACTAGCCATCAGTAGGGAGTTTAGCAGTGATTTTATACTATAACTTGGGCATTTTCCTTTGATTCTTTGTCAAATGTACTGGTTACCTCTTGTTTGTCACCTTTGACCAGTGAATGAATAACATTTTGCACTAGAACAATCAATCCTTCTACTGTGATTTGTAATCTTAAACTGAGAGTGAAACATTAGCTATCACTGCGAGGCGATCCCGTCGCAAAGTTAAACTCTTGTCATGAAGCCACACCTTCAGTATTTCATTAATGTGAGATGATTGGGTTGGAATTCTATTTTAGAGTGTGTATATGCCTGTGCATATATGTATGCATACTTGTGCATGTGTGCTTGCACGCATGCGTGCACGTGAGTGTGCATGTATGCATGTATCTGTGGCTGGAACTCTTTGAGCTTAATGATACATTCTGAAAAGAAATTAACTAACCCTCCAAATTTTAGTTGCTAATGCTAATATATACCCTTTTATTTGTAAATATCAAAACAAACCATTGCCAATGCTAATATGTACCCAATACAGGATCTTGGGTACAGGTCTATAACAATGGGGATGTGTATGAGGGAGAGTTTCATAAAAGGAAGTGTTCAGGGAGCGGGGTGTATTATTACTATATGAGTGGGAGGTATGAGGGGGATTGGGTTGATGATAAGTATGATGGGTATAGGGTGGAGACCTGGGCGAGGGGGAGTCGATATAGAGGGCAGTATAGGCAGGGGTTGAGACATGGCTTTGGTGTCTATCGGTTTTATACGGGGGATGTGTATTCCGGTGGGTGGAGTAATGGGCAGAATTATGTCAGCTTATATTGGGATCCATATCGCAAAGAGTCTACTTCTCTCTCAATTCAATCTTCTCCCTTTATAATCAGCCATCTTTAATTTCTCACTGATCCAAGTTCCAAGTTTGGACCTGTATTCTAATATTCATAATGTCTTGTTAGTTATTGGGGTGTTTGAGCTGGACTCCCTTGTTATTTGTTGTTAAATTGATTTGGGATTTAGATGGATAGGAAGCAGATAATATTTAACATAACCACTTGAAAGATAAATGAGTTGACATTTAACTGTAGTTCCTTATAAGGTAAAAAGATCCAAGTAGTTTCCGCCAGGTTGTTATACTACAAAAACAACAATCTATATGTATTAGCACTCGTCTCACTTATTCGGATATGTATTTGAACTTCATTTGTCCACATTCATACTACATCATCTCCGCCGAAATTTTCTTTTCATTGGGGCTAGTACCATAGTGGCCTCTGACAGACTCAAGTCTTGTCTGCAGCTCGCTGAGTTCACAGTTCTAGGTTTAATTTGCAAGGTCATATGGATCAGAGCTTTGTTTGTAAGGTGCTCATCTGGGGGATTGAGGGAATTTTTGTGTTAATAAGAGGAGAGTTTCTTCAGTGTGAATATTTTGTTCGGGAATTAAGAGGATATTGATGAGGTGTTTGTACACCGGCAGCCAATATTTTGGTTACTTCTAAGTTATAACTATATTGGAACTTATGTTGGTTTATAGGCAGAAGTGTAGGAATCTTTCTTCATTGTGATAGAGAGTTATGTTGGTTTACTTCTAAGTTATAACTATATTGGAGCTCACATCTTCGTTTATGTTTTACTTTTTATAGTGTTAGATATAATTTGTAGCAAATTCTAAGTTATAACTATATTGGACCTTTATATTCTACTTATTTGAAATTTTTTGAATTAATTTCAGGGGATGAAGGATGCGAGATTGATGTTTTGATGGGCTCACTAAAGTCAAAAACCAAGGACTTCGGCATATTTTTCTCTCTCTCTTTAGTTAATATTCTCTATATATGAAATTGATTGTAATAGATTTTGTTGGTTAAGATTTTTTATATGAAATTGATTGTAATAGACTTTGTGACTAGAAATGGATTATACTTTATATTAGGAATATCATGACATTTACTTTAGATTTGTTTTGGTTCTTTCATTGACCTTTCTTTCTGCAAATATTATGTGTGAGAAATGTTGTTCTTTAATTATCGGAATTGTGGCTGTGCTTCTGCTTGTTAATATTTACAAACTCGATGTTGATGGCCACTCAACACCTGAATCAAACAATATGAATCTAATTCCAAAAAGTATGAATTAAAATTATGTTGTGATAATTTTCTTCCTCTTTTCTCAGGAAGGTAACCAAACAAGAGAAAATGATTTTCTTATGAATTTTCTTCTAACTTTCCTTACAATATTCTTTCTAACCAAACAATAAAAAGAATATCATTTTCTTTTCTTTTTCTTTTCCTTTCTTTTTACTTTTTCTTTCTTTTTCTTTTCTCTCCCTTTCCATCAAACCAAACACAGCTACAGATCACAATTCTAGCTAATTTCCGCTTGCTCATAGTTATAAATAGAGGCAGGAGATAGGCCCCTTGAAAACTTATTTATGCTGTAGGTTGAGGACTTGAAGAATTAAGATTGAAAGAGGTGGTACATTAGATCAGTTTTAGATCGCATTAAGTTATTCATTTAATAGATAGGCAGTGTTATGCTTATGGTTGGTAAACTGTTTCTCTTATCTTTAATGAAAATGCTCTGTCGTATTAGAAGTTGGTTCAATAAGGAAATTTTATTTTATTTTTATAAGTAACATGTATGTGGTTGCAATTTAAAAGTATATATAGCGCCAAGATATATTCAGGTTCTTAGTTTTTTTTAGATAATTTTGGTAACTTTTGATTAGGATGATTTGGATAGGTTGAGATTACTTAAGGTGCTATAATTGTATTTTGATTAGGTGAGGTACCTCTTTTTGTGCATCATGTTAATGCTCACTTGTTATATTATAGGGATTTGTTTAGTGTAAAGCATCTGTCCATATTTTATATAGATGAGTTAAATCTATGATATATAAGATGGTTTTGGCTACTTATATTGTTTCATTTACACTGGCATTGAGTGTCACCAATTGACTTTTATGGGCATACCCATCTTTATTCATCTCTGGAACATGTACAAGGTGAAATGTTATACGCTGCTTTTTATCTAACGATATAGATTATTAATTTCACGTTTGTAACTAATGGTTCTTCTGTTTATAAAAAGAAAATCACTCTATATAGTTTTGAATGGTAAAGAGTACGCATATTTGGAATAGGCACATAGATAAGCATGTTATCGCGTCATATACTTAATATAGTTGCTGCATTTTTCACGGGACTAGTAGTCCCGTTTACTATACGTGCACGTTTTCGTGCATGCCCAGCAAATTAACGAGACTAGTAGTCCCGTGAAATATACTGCTGCAATTTTCATAGGACTAGTAGTCTCTCTAAAGTGGAGATAAACTTCTTAAAAGCCCCTTAACTTGACAAGCTAAGATACTAGTCAGTCATTATCAAATTATTTGCACTTATTTCCTCAAATTCTTTAAAATTTAAAAAATTACTTCATCAAACTTAATATTAGTCTATCAAATCTTCAGGGGTTTGGAATTACCCACGTAAATGTCCATAAATAGTTGAAATTATTCACTGAAATTTCTATTGCAAGTTACCCCTTAAATTTATAAATAGACCCCCAAATCTTAAAAAATTTCAATTTCTTCCATCAAATGTTCATATTTTGAATTTAGTCTCTCAAATTGATTTATAAAAACTTAAATTAGTCTCGCGAATAATTAAAGATTTAGACTTACTCCCTTAAATGCTCAAAATTAGTCCCTTAAATCTTTATAAAATTTGCAAATTACTACCTTAGATTTAAAACTAATACCTCAATTCGTTAAATATTTTTAAATTCCTATCTCAAGTGGTCTTATTTCGGAATTTTAGACCCCAAAATGGTGAGTATTCTCAACCCACTTATGATTCACAAATATTTTATCCTATTTGAGGGGTAAGTACACCATGGTGACCAAAACTATGGTTTCTTTTATTTTTTAGTTTGAACCAAACACTAGAAAATGAGCGAATCAGGTCACACATCAACTATTTTCTTGTCTTTTCAATTTGAACCAAACTAAGGAAAGTGATGAAAAGTAATTATGCACCATGTTTCTTTACGAAACAAACACAAAAAACACTCTTCCATGAAGGGAAACACCAAAAAGTGAAGGAAAGTGGGTTTAAGAAAGTGAAGGAAAGTAACCAAACAACCACTTAGTGAAAAGATTGAAATTTACTCGGTTAATTAGCCAGGTACGGATAGTACTAGAGGGAGATTAAAAATTAATTAAGCACCCCGTTCCTTCCAGAGTATTTTACGCAACCCCTAAATCCTGCCTTAGACACCAACGGATTCAAGTAAACTTAAGCCGGTTCACTTAAGAATTTCTTGTTCCTTAATGAGCTCAAGTCCTTAGGAGCCAACGTCTAATGAGTTTTAAAAGGCTTGGGTTTGTGTAGTGAAGAATTAGTGATTTGTGGACAAAGAAAATGATGATAAAATCCCTCACATTATCTTGATTAGGGGGTTTTTGCCCTTAAGAATATTTTTAAGTGTGTACTAAATCAAGATGCTCAAATCACTTAGGTGAATTCCTACTAAATATATGCAATGCAACCCTATTAATTAAAAGGAAATATAAAAGGATGCAAAAAGCAAATCTTCTTGTTTTTAATAAGGGTTAACAATAAAACAAAGGTGAGAAAGAAGGCTCTTGTTTGAATTTATTATCTTGTTAGAAGTTGTTCAAGTGAAGGGAGAATTTTATTAAAGTTGACAAGAAAGAATTTTTTTTAATAATTAGATCCTAATTATCTCTAATTGTGAGAAACTAACTAAATGGTAGAATTGAAAATACTAGAAAGATTAGTTACTAAAAGTAAATCTTTAAATCTTCAATCTTTGATCTTCAAGCTTTGATCTTCAATCTTCAAAGCGGTTCCCTCACAAGAAAACACACAAGTTTAAAAACCAAAATAAATAAAATCCTATTTATAAGCACCTTCTCTGGCAACGGTGCCAAAAACTTGATAGAAGGTAAATGATAACCAAAATTTATAAGTGTACAACTATCAAGTTATAGTATAAAAGATTGTCGAATCACACGAGGAAGGTGTTCAAAGAATTAATCAAAATTGATTTTTAAGTTGTGTGTGTGACAATTAGAAGAGATAAGAGTGGTTATGGAGAAAGTGGTTGTGATTATATGCAAATGGAACAAAACGAGATTAAGAGATGAAGAAAATAAAGAGTAATAAAACCAGTAAGTAAATAAAGAAAAATGAAGAACAAAGAGAAAATTCAGGAAAGTAAAGATGGAGGATTTAATTAAAGATATGAGGAATCTAGATTGAATCCACTAGTTAATTTCAATTATAAATTATGAACTATTCTCTTTTTATTATATTTTATATTTAATGTATTAAGCATAAACTATCAAACCACTTAAGGAAAACATAACCTATCAAATTATTATCTAAGCAAAATTAGCATTCATGAAAAGAACAACAACTAGATAGGAATTCTAGAATTCATAAGCATAACCTATCAAACCTCTCAAGATCAGCGTAGATTATTAAATTCTTCTTCTACCAATTAGTTCTCTAGTTGATTATTCTACACATAATCATTTTAAGAACAAGAGAATAATTCACTAATTATAAAAGAAATCAAGCTACTTTCATACAATTCTAGAATTCCTTCAAGAATTAGTTCCACATCTTAAAAAATAAAAACAAGAAAAAAAATCTATACTAGACAGGATAATAAGAAAAGAATGAAGATAAAAAACTAATTACAAAGAAGAAAATGAGAACAAAGAAGTAAAGATCTAAACTATGATTATAAAAATAAATCTAACGAAGTTGCAAAAGAAAAGAACATAAAAGAAAATCTATATTATGCAAGAAAATAAATTAATATTACAAAATAAAAGAGCAAGACAATAATGTAAAAATAAAGACATGAATATAAATCTACTCTACAAGACATTAATGTAAATCTAAACTACTAAAATAGGAAGAAAAGAGATTACTACAAAAGAAACAAGAAAATAATAATAAACGGTCTTCTTGAAAGCAAACCTTCAACTTAATATCCATTTTCATCTTCATCTTCATCATTAAACAAAAAGAAGAAAATAAAAATATGAAGAGGTGAAAAAAATCTTTTATTAATTGCAACAAAGTTATAATTTTAGAAAGGTTTTCGATCAATTGTTTTATATATTGTTATATTTGTATATATGGTCTTGAAAAATATTTTTTTCAAGAGATTTGAAAATTATTTAAAACAACAAAGAGTTAGCATGTTCTTTTCAAAAGTTTTAATTAAATTTCTAAGTTTGACTTGGTTTTGTATTGCTATAATGGAAGATTTTCTAGAAAATTCACTTTGGAGTTATATATAAAAATATTTTCTTGAGTAATAACTACCTTCAATTAGATTGTCTAAATTTATCAAATAAATTTAGTTATTTACTGACCTCTTTAAATTCGTAAGTTGACCGAATTTTGTGGGTATATTCCCTGCAAACTCTCACGAGACTACAACTCGTCCACTAGGATAACCTAGGGGTTTAAAGGCTTGTTGTATGCGCTAAATACAACCGTGATTCTTGCGAAAGTGAGTTAAGATTTTTTTTTAATTACTTTCTTTGCTAGAGGACTAGCAAAAGTTTAGTGTGGAGGTATTTGATAATCATATTTTTATTACAATTTTATACCCTCATTATCTATTTTACATGAATAAATATACCACTAATAATTATTTTTATCTTTAATTGTAGGTTAATAAAATAATAATAAATAAAGGCCCAAAAGACTCTAACTTTCTAATTCTGTAACATTTTATTGAAGTCTAGAATCAAGCCAAGTAGCCTGTAGAAGCTAGAGAAAATTAAAAATCCAATATAAAGAGAAATTATATTCAATATGGTTGGACGTAAAGAAACGACGATATCTCCCAATCCGAAATGCGGAATTTAACATATAATATATGAAAATCGTCTATCTCGATGAGACGAAGCCAACCATAAAGTCAGAATTTTGATAGGATCATCGATGCTAGCATCGATGCCAGCATCGATGCCTGTATCGATGGTGACGATTCTGTTATGAATCAGACGATGAAAATCAAGTGTTTTGGATAAGAATTCGATCTAAGGGCTCACATTCATTGATGTTTACTATAAATATGGGTAGAGAGTGAGAGGTTGAGGGTGTGAAAAATTTTGCAACTCCATTTGGAGAGGAGGGTTACTCTTAATTGAGAAGACATTCCAATTTTGTAACTTTTGTTACAATCAATAAAAGAATTTTTTTCACCACTTCATATTTTTTTCTCTTTGTTGGATGATGAAGATGAAGATGAATATCAAATTGGAGGTTGTTTTATTTTATTTTATTTTCTTTTTTATTTCTTTTCTTATTGGTTAGTAGTTTAGATTTACATTAATATTTTGTAGTGTAGATTAAATTTCATGCATTTAATTCTTACAATTTATTTTGTAGCTTAGTTTTTAAAATTTATTTTGTAGCTTAGATTTTATTTTCTTGCACTATTCACCTTGAGACTAGAACCCTCTTGGGATTAGTTTTTCTTTTCTCTTTTTTTTTTATTTTCTTTGATTCGCCTTGAGGCTAGAACCCTCTAGGGAACTGTCCTTTTCTTAGATGTGAGATTAATTCTTATTGGAACTCTAGAAATTGCATAAAACTAGCTTTATTTCTCTTATGATTTGTTAATCTTTCTCTCATGCTTAAAATATTCATGCTTAGGATATTCAACTAAAGAACTAATTGGTAGAAGAAATTCTAGAATTACTATTTAGTTATTATTCTTTTCATGAGTAATAATTTTACTTGGATGATAATTTGATAGGTTATACTTCCCTTGAGTGGTTTGATAATCCATACTTAGTAAATCTAAAGTAGAATGTGAAAAAGAGAATGATTCATATCTTATAAGTGAGATTAGCTAGTGGATTCAATTCTAAATTTTTCATATCTTTAATTGAATCATACATCTTTTCTTTCTTGATTTTTCCTTAGTTCTTGATTTTCTCTTATTTGTTACTTGATTTTTATTTCCTTTATTCTTCTTTCCTTATGATTTCATTTATTCTTTTATCACACCCACTCTTCATTTCTACCATATAAAATCTCATTTATTGACTTTTGCACATATTCACAACACTACTCATATCTCCACAATCACAATTTTTATCACTCCTAATTGTCACACACACAACATAAGAACCGATTCTAATTTTCTCCTACAAACACTTTTCTCGTAAGATCGATAACTTTTTATAATATAACTTGATTGGTTATGCACTTGCAACTTTTGGTACATATTTATGTCCCGTCACAACACTTTTTTAATTGTTAACATCTTCAAATATTCAGAACAAAGATGATATTATAAATCTCTTGCAACTAGCTGTTTGTTTCCATTTGTAACGATCTAGTCATAAATAGTATATATGCCCTAACTTAAGAGGGAGTGTTAGGTATAATTGATAAGTTGGTATTAATAGATTTAGTAAACATTATGAGATATTATTGAGATATTGACAGATGTAATTAGATATGATTTTATCTCATATCTATTTTGTAATATCCTCCTAATCTATATTTAAAACAGGTTAGAGTTAGATAAATAATGAATCTGTCTTCTCTGAATATTTGCCGTCTCTAATTCTATACAAGCCTTGTCAATACTCCACTAAAACTCACGGCGTAATAAATCCAGCGGTTTAGAAAGTAGGGAGATAATTGAGGTAAAACTTCACTGTTTTCCATAATTTAAGTCAGAGTACACAAGGGAAGCAGAGAGACTCCAAAATGTGATGGGAATTTAAAAATCAACCATTATTGTACATATTTAAAATATATGATCCATTGACGTGCTGTACGAATCATTGACATACTATGTACGGAGTTACTCATGCTACTACAAACATATCTGCACAAAAGCCATAGGAGACTAACTCATAAAGCGTATCCCTAACTAATTCGTAGTACTTCTATGGAAACTTGCATCCGCGCATGAATCAGATCAAGAATGAGCTAAACACAGCCTCTTATTTCCACTTCTTTTTCTCTCTCTCAATGAACTCATCAAAGCACTTGTTGAGCTCATCTATAGGCAGAAGATGCAAGTTCCTTTCTTTGAAGGATGGAGATCGAAAATCTCATCCCCTTCATTGCTTTGGAAGAAAATTCTTTTTAATGATAGAGACCCTTGAATCTTTAGCTCCTGACTTCATTTCTACTATGAAGTTATGATAATGTTTGAGGATTGTAGTATTATATTCTAACATATCTCACAGGTCCCTCTAAACCTTTATATCAGAACTCTCTGAAGTTATGATAAAACTTGAGGATTGCAGTTTTATATTCTAACAGTGAGCAAGTGGAGATAACAAGAGAGACATCAGTACAAGTATGAGAGAGCCAAAGATAAGAAACACGCAGAAGAAAAGTCCTTTTTCTCATGAAATTTGGCCTCTTGATCTCATTGTTGTTGAGAGAAAGAACTCCTTGGGGATGTCGCTCTTCCATGACTCTCACCTCGCTCCTTGGTCGTGAGAAGGCTATATCCCACGACCTCCTCTGACAATTCACACATTATTATTTAAAGGTGCTGTCGGGAGTATGAACTTTAGATCACCAAAGGACTGGGAAATTGACTCAATAGAAAGCAAGTGGGAGTAGGAACTTTAGATCACCAAAGGACTGGGTAATTGACTCCATAGAAAGCAAGTGGGAGTATGAACTTTAGATCACCGAAGGACTGGGTAATGGACTCAATAGAAAGCAAGTTGTGCGTTTAGAGTTTAATAAGATTAATTACAATATTATATTATGTAACTGTAGAAATACGTTGGCAAGCAAGAGCTTTAGGTCATGTCTATGAGGCAAAGATGCTTGGCATACAAAATGTAGTTACTATTTTATGATGCGGATGAGAAGTCGGTCTCCTCTTCCAAAACCCAATTGATCCGAGTCCAAACTCCACACGATACTCTTCCAAAACCCAACTGATCTGAGTCCAAACTCCACATGATACTAAAAATGATTTACCAATTCAACATGTAGGAATGCTGTAAAAGGTCAATGTAACTGATATATTTCGCATACTGCGTAAAAAAATTTAAAAACAAGAACCCACCCCCACCTGATAGGATTAGCGTTACTGGAAACATCATCGTACACCTCATAAAATCAGGCACAAGGTATGGTCACATAAGAGCGTCTTGGTTGCTTTAATATTTCTGCAGCAGAACCTTCATAGGTCTGGATCAGTAAGAATAAGATATTGGTCCTGCCCACCTGCTGTTTTTGACGAACTGGATAACACTTGTTATTTTGCAAAAAACCAGTATGGTGCAAGTAAATGGAAGAAATTGATAATCATGCTGCGTCGCACAAGCTCGAGCGTGAACCAGGCAAGTTTTTGGTACCTGTCAGCTACTGTCAGCCTGTTGGTCACATTTCGACAAGCTCAACAACTATCAGTCCAAGGACATTAGAGCACATAAAATATTTAAAATGAGAAAGAAATGGAAGAAAAGGAGAGATTTCGTATGAATTTCTGAACTCTAAATGTAACCTCTCTCATAAAGCTAAATCAAAGCTTCTAACCAAGTTAGAACTTACTGCCAAGTGCCCATATTAGCTAAAATCTACGGAAGTATCCAAGGCAATCCACTCAACAGTATAAACAAGGTGAACCTAAAAACAGAGAATGGGAGGCTTCCCTCCAAATGTTTTTCTCGGGCTTTCTACTTAGTTGCCAGGTCAACGCAAAATCATTTTTCGACATTTGATTAGTCATACTTCTGTGTTGTTGCTTGTAGCCCCTCAAAGCAGGCCAACAAAGGGAGTAACTATAGATGAATCACTTGTTTTTATGATAAACGCCTCTTTGTGTTCTGAACCAACGGGAAGTCTACAAGAACAATGAAAGACGAGCTCTCAGCTTCTCTAAGGTACTGAACGGTACCGTTCATTATCTTAACGAGCTTCTGGCTAATGTATAAACCAAGTCCTTCTCTTGAGATGCTCTGGCCACGATGGAACATCTCCTGCACCAGAGCCTCTGGAATACCTGGTGCTGGATGAATGATCCTAAAAAAAATAATTTTAAATCATAAGCAACGTTAAACTTATTGCTAACGAAAAATGAGTCATTCAAATATAATAGAATATTGAGATGTAATTCTTTTTTCCTTTATTTTTACAGTTTTTTCCTTTATTGAAAACCAGGGATATTATTAATTTAACACATGTTATCCCTTGAACTGAACTGAATGGAGGACAAGAAGTCATGTAGCCAATAAATTACTTGGAATAAAGGCTGTGTTCAATTTTGCACCAGTTATACAGGGTAATAAACTATATCTGCAAATGACAATAAGCTTACATAGCTCTTTCGAGTAAATTGATAATCAGTACCGCTGGGATAAATCGGGCCCAATATGGAGTTAATTGGCCTTAAATAGAGGCAAGAAAACAAATTTACCCAAAAGATTAAGCTATTAGGTATTGTACCTAACTCCTACGTAAACACATCGCTCTTTAAACTCTTTCAATGTGAGACTATACTTTTTCCTTAACTTTTCCAATGTTGAAGTATACTCGTACATGAATTGGGTTGAACACTGATTGGCTCACACCAAAGTAACCGACCAAACAGCCAACATTTAGACAGTGCGCGTTCAGCCGTTGAAAAAATTTTGCGCGCGTCAGGTCTGAACAAATCTGAACCCAAAAACAGAAACGACCGTTATCCAGAGTTCGCAATATTCGTCTACAGATATCCAAATCACCTAAAAGACCATTCCATTGCAACATGTGCAGTTTCTTGCAAAAATATTGCAAAAAGGGTGCAGTCAGTCCAGAACGCTCGATACGACCCTCGCCATATCCATATCCACTTACCCATCACGGATACCGATACGAATATACACTAAGGAAAATTCATATCCACATCCGCTAAAATCAGATACGGATAGAGATATACATGCGGATATATAAATAGCTATGCATGCAGACACAAAACAGATATGAAAAAACTAGATACTATTAGAATGCATATAGTTTATATGATATAAAAGAGTTCATTAATATGTTCATTATATTTGAAAAGCTAAGGTTAGACATTAAAATTAACCTCAAACCCAACGGATTAAAACTATTGCAACAATATGACCAGGATATTTCGGATACGGATCTGGATATATCACTACCAAACCATATTCATAACCATATCCTATAGATTATAGATTTGAGTAACCATATTTGTATCATCATGGATACGGTTACGTATATTTCCTTAAATATGGATACGGTTTAGCACCCCTAATTGCAAATCTCCTATCCTATACAGTTGGAGAAAATCCCTTCCCCCCTCACCACATTCTGAATATTGTTATTTTATTTTTTTAGGCCAAAATAGCCCCATCTGAGAAGCAATCTTTTATGCGCTCAATCAATTTATTAAGTTGCAAACCTATACAAGCTTTAGTGTGCTAGCATGCTAAGTGGTACTAAATGATAAATATGAGCTTTAACATGTTAATAGCAAATGATATATTGTAGATTGTGCTCTATTTGCTCATCAAAAGTTATATCAAATCAAGCCAAATAAAAAAAAATTCAATGAATTAACGAGAGCCCAACTATCCCAAACTCCGACCAACCCAATTTTGTTCAATTCGGTTCCAAGCCACTAGTGGTATGGTTTTGGGTTGGCCAAATTTGGCCAAAACCATACCGACTGACCGAATGCTGACCCCTACACAAGAATCTCCCAACAGGTAACACTTCAGTACCATCACATATGTACGTATAAAGTTGAGGAATCTGAAACTTGGGAGCAATGGAACCTAACACAATGAGAAATGTTTATGACTAATAGTTTAGAATATGAAAATACCTTAACTCAAGGTGAACAATATGCACTCCAGTCCCTATTCGTTGTTTTCTTGAGATGCCGCGGAGAATTACAGATCCATCAGCAGGTGGTGAGAACTGAAGTGCAGTCACTAAAAAGTCTGCCAGAACTTGCTGAAGCCTCAAATTGTCACCATACAAGTTCAATGAAGATACTTCAGCAGTTGAATCATGAACAAGCAACACCTCTCGTTTCTTGCTTAGGGCCATCCCTTGAGATATGGCTGCCTCAAAAACTTCCCCAAGGCTAAATTCTACAGTATTCAGATCCATGTAGCTGTTCAGAAGTTCAAAATCTAAGTGAGGTTTAAATTGGTATACTAGATTTATATAAGATAATATGGTCAAGAAATGCCATTCAAACAATATTGAACCGATTCATCATGATTTTAGTCCGCACAAACTAATATCAGACATTTGATTAGGAAGAATCAAATCAAGGGGATACTGCAAATAGCTGATTGGCCAATGGTAACTGGTAAGTATATTTTATCATCAAACTTCCCCCGCAAGATATACACTCATGCATGAGTAGAAACAGTGGCACATCTTATCATATATAGCATGCCAAATTGGTAACTAAAGTATGCAACTTAGTATCTTGCACCACCAGTTCTTAGAGAGCACGACTAATTTAGCATACTGACTTCAAGTTATATTGCATAGATTACAGAGACAAGAACTTCAACCTCAGACTTGTTACTTATTGGATAATATTTAGAAGCATTCACAGTCCCAAACTCCAACCATATAGAAGCATGGATTAGCGAATGGCACAAATGGAGATGGCATTTACTTTCTGTGGACAAAGTATCAGATTTTGACATCTGACTAGGAGATCAATACTGAATGAATGGGATATACATATACATTGAGTCAATGGGAAGAGCCAGATCAGCAAAACAGTAAGCCGACGTAGGCCAATTTAGTGCTTGCACTCTCATGCATGTGCACGTACACATGTGTATGCATGTGTCGAAAAGAAATTTTTTTTTTTGCCGCATACAAAAGAAAACATTTGATGATTGGTTAAAGAGTGCCAAACCTCTTTATTTCTCATTCTATTCATGTAATTGTATGCAGTGCTCTAAATGTCTGATGTCAGGGACAATTTCGGATCAAAACATCCCATATTGGATGGAAGAAACTGGGGATTTATCGGAGATTCTTAATAGCCATCAGGTGTGACAACTATCAGAAAAATTGGATTTTAACCCAGAAGGTTTTTGCAACTACTATCTCAAATCACCATGGTTTACTGGTTTCTACTGTGCTTAAATATAAATCTCTCTATAAGAGGAAGCACAATGCTCATGGACTGATCTCAGTTACATGACTACTAGAAATCCTGGCAGCAAGGTTTTAAATGTTGGATGTCGGGTTCATGTCGGATGGCTGAAATCCATGTCGGATAGCGAAAATCGGGGACATATCGGGGGACATTGACTAAATATCGGATTACCATATCGGATAGGCACATATGTATAATATCATGTCCTAAATGTAATCTAAGCATTCATAAATTCAATATAAGCATACTTTATAAATTCTATAGACTAAACATATAAAAAAGTAAATAATATATGGATTTGGGTTCATAAATTTTTTCTATCGGGTTCATAAGAAATCCTTAAACATAAGAACGGGTCAAACGGTTTGGGTATTTATCACTAAACCCAAACCTGATAACAAAAAACAGACCTTAAAAAAATACCATATCGGCCGATTTTTCAAAATTAAAAAAATAGGCCGATATGCCCGATATGACATATTTCCGATTTGGCCCTGAAAACCGACATACGAGTTGAAAACATCCATGTTGTATCGGTCAAACCCTCAAACCGATATGTCGGCCGACATGTCGAACATGTCGGTCGACATTTAAAACCTTGTCTGGCAGCCCATGCCACCATCACCTTTGTCTCTTTGGTGGCTGAGAAGACTGGCTGGTTGAGTTCATATCTGTAACAATGAATAAGGGTTAAAGTTCATGTTCGAATTGATAGGGATATATACAACCTATCAAATGCTTCTTTTAATCGAGGATATGATGGGTATTTAGATGGTCGACGACATTGATGGACTAATTGATAAATTGCTACTGGCAGAGATTATAGCTCTGAAAGAGATGCACATATTGGAACTATTGAATATGGTGTTTTAAGTAACACTAAGCAAGTTTTTATGTTGATATGTTTTAGCAGGTTTTTGGTTGTTCCTCAACATGGTATGATGGATCATTTTGATCTTCATCTAAACTTCTTCCAGATATTACTATAAAAAATTATTAGAAAGGTTGAGCTTGATCATAAACCATTTGTAGTTTGCAGCCCTCTATTTAAGTAATATTTTCTTCCTCTAATACGTATGTTAAGATTTTTTTTTTTACACACACAGACATATATGCAATTGAATATATAAAAAGTGAGCACAACTGTACAAGCATATTAGACTATTATGACCTCTAAAAACACTCTTTTTAAGCTATAAATGCAATTGCATATACAAAACTGAGTACAAGGATATTAGACTATTATGACTTCTAATGGAACACCATCTGCACAAACATAATGCAATTGCATATATAAAAATGAGTACAAGGATATTAGACCATTATGACCTCTAATAAAACACTCTTCTCTTTTTTTTTTTTTGGGGGGGGCGGGGGGGTGTATATAGCGAAAGGATCGAGGATAAATTCACACATGAATCAAATCATAATCTCATAGTCTTTCCATCTTTCAAACATTATGTACGCCTGCTATCACAACCTTCTAGCCTTATTTAGAAAAGCAGCAATAAATTTTTTTTTTTTTTCGAAATGAGTCTGGACTTTTTATCCATCAACATTCTTTTAAATGGCACGACGATTTATTTTGACAATTTCCTTCTTTGGAGATAACTTTACGTCTTTACCCACTAATAGGTTGTGGAAGAAGCATATTAAAATACATGTCTTCTCAAATGAAAAATATTAATAATATCTGGAAATTTTTAACTTATTAAAAATACAAAGAACATTATAACGACTAATGAATTCAAGAAATTTTTTTGCACTTAAACTTGTGTTTGTTTTGCACTATAAATTATGTCATAAATGAGCAAAAATAAAGGACACAAGATATAGGCACAAGATAAGAAGGCAGGTAAATAGAACCAAGAAAACATACAATTGCAAAGAAAATCAAGAAATGTATTAGTGAACATCCCATTACAGAATGGATCAATCTAGTAGAACAAATCAAACTGATCGTCATCTTATTCTAGGTTTTTACAAGTAACGCATGTTGTATAAACGAGGTCATCAATAAGGGACAATGTAGAATAGACTTCCACATTGGAACGTTGAAGATTTCATGACCTAACCGGACCCAGTGTTTCTTCATCATACTTGATACAACAATTCTTGGGCACGCCTCAAACACGTGGTGGGAGCTTTAGTACTTAATCTTCTTCTTGTCGACATATTACACTTGCTTTACTCATCTAATGCTTATTTTGAATATTTAAATGCAGAAATAACTACAATAATATGCTTGGTAGATTTTTACGGATATCATTAATTGTTGTACCTCGGCCAGGTTGATCCTCCTTCCCTATAATTGCGCCATAGTCCACACGCAATTGCCCTTATGCTATGTCTTATTATATCAAATTGTACTGGCTTATCAACCCTCCTAAAGAATGAATGAAAAAATATGGCTTATGGCATAAAATATAAAAAAATTCCATACCACTGCTCAATGCTCTCTATGTCTAAGTCATCCAGGATTTTTGTCAACTGTTCCTGACATTGGATGCTAGTCTGAAGAAGTCGCTTTTGTTCCTGAGTTAATTCAGAAGCGAGCATCAAATTTTGAGTAAAAACAATTCCATGAAGTGGGTTTTTGATTTCTTGGCGTAAGTGCGCCACTTCCTTAGAACTATTATTGGCAGCCTGTTCAGCCCTTCTCTGCACCTGCAAGGCTTGTTGAAGCTCTGGGCTTGCCACATGCAAAAAGCACAACACCCCAGTGATCCTATCCTCAGAATCAGTCCTCTTGTTTCCTGAAAGTAAAGCTTCGACCAACTTACCATTTTGATCAAAGAACCCGAAAAGCAGTTTATCTACATCTTGACCTGCAATCACACCATTTAATAAGATCCTTAGCTTGGTTAAGGTGTCATGATCTTTGACTGGACACCCAAAACCATTCAGATCAAACACCTCCCCAACCAACATTTTACCGACTGCATCCTCCCTTTTCAAACCGGATAATTTTTGCATAGCACTATTCCACTCAACACAGCAACCATGCTCATTGACCATAAATATAGGAGGGACTAGTGCGCTTGGATTCTTTACAACAGCATTGTAATCACCTTGAATACGAGTGTATTTATCCATTATCATTTTCTGACATGTCACGTCTTGTCCAACAAAGCAAACCCCGACTGTGTTGTCCTTCATATCACAACTGCAGCAAGAGTTAACAATCAATACAACAGGCCCATCGCATTCTCGATGACCGAATGTTTTAAGTTTGATTTCAATATTTTGCTCTTCGTTTCCTGTTATCAAGATACAAGAAATGCATATTATCAGAATTAGCATGTAGCAACTTTAAACAACTTCAATATTTGAACCATAGATCGAGCGCTAGTGCGATGGTATGACACAGCAATGGACATCAACAATACAAAATCCGAATACCAGGTTGACACACGGCACTGAACTACATTTGATACAATGAAGATAATAAAAATAGGCAAAATTGAATACACTGGATTTTGTAGAATTGAAGTAGGATGGAGCTATTACCTTGCAACGCTAAGCTAAGAACACTTTTGGCCACATCAATCGAGTCATCATGTACAAGACCAGTCAGTGGCATACCAATAGCATCCTCCACAGACAAACCTGTTAGCTCTGCTGCTTTAGTATTCCATCCATTCATATTCCCCAAGGAATCAACAGCAAAAATGGGCACCGCTGCAGTTTCAATAAGACGAACCATTTCACTAGTAACCGCACGCAGTTCGTCCATTCCTTGAATCCTCTTCATATCATCAAGTGTTGAATTCACTAAGGTCTTGGATTCGACCACAGCAGTCTCATTCTGAAGAGATTCCCGTAGTATGAGCTGCAATGAATGAACTGAATCCATTTCTATATCTTCCCAAGGAAGACTTCGCCACTTTACAACCTCTAAGAAAGCCTTGAAAGAAGATCGAGGCTGCAATTTCCGGCCTTCATCATCTCTATTGGCAGGTTCATGTTTTGCTCCACCCCATTTAATCTCCTTTGCTGTGTGAGACCGAAACCAAAAGATGAAGTCTTTGTCGGTAATTTTGATTGCAGCCATCCCGCAAACTACATCTCCAAGGGCCAAAGCACCGGGATAACCAGCTTCCATTAAGCTATCAGTGCTTAAACCTGTACTGCCATCATGACACTCTAGAAGCCAGGCAGAAATATCTCTAATCTGAGGCTCTGTGGGCGTTGTTCCCAAAACCCAAATTTGGTTCTTGTAGTAAAGAGCAGCACCATCACACTTAACAATATCCATAACGTTAGGAGTCTGTGTAAAGATGCCAATAGGCGCATCCCTAAGAAGCATGTCACAGAGAACAGTCTGGGTCCGAAGGATATGCTTCTCCCTTGCCTGAGCAGCTAACTCTACCTCTTTGTTAAGCTGAATCCCGAAGACCTGAAGCAAGAATTCACAGGCATATCTAAGTGGAAAGGGGACAAACCTAGGATTTGTGTGATGGCAAACCACCAATCCCCACAGCTTTCTTCCCTTTTGATCACTGCCCGATTCATCATCGTCCTCATTAATGGTAACTGACATCACGAGCGAGGCAACAGAACCCATGTTCGACATGTACTGAGCATGACATCCATGAGGTGCTCTCAGAGTCGATCCACAGAGACTCAGAGGCTGAGCCAACTTCTTATCTTGGATGATTTTAACTGGGTGAGCAGAGCAGTCGCATATCATTCTCACCTTGCTCTTCATGAAAAGGAACCTCGAAGCCTGCGGGATGTCCGTAGCAGGATAATGAAGGCCGATATAAGGCTCCAAATCCGACCTCCTACACTCAGCTATAACTTCTCCATGCTCATCTTCATGAAACTTATAAGCCATTACACGATCATAACCGGTAAGGTCACTAATCTCCCGAACCAAAACATCACACAAAAGAGAGATATTGCCGCTAGGCAAGGACTGCAACCTTGAAATCGCCTTAGCAGCAAGCTTATAGGATTTCAATGCTCCGGCAGCGGTAACGGGTACATCAGCAGGGTTAACGGGCTCCAAGTCAATAACCAATCCAACATCAATCCGGTGAATGATCGCATAGAAGGGTTTGCCAGAACTCCTGCAATGTACAAGGATGGGGTTCAGGAGGTTGACATCTCC